TTGACTATTGTTGATAGTGCTGCTATAAACATGGGGGTGCATGTAAAAAAATGTTTTTAAAGAAATTTTTACTCCATTTGAATCTAGATGATATGGTCCATTTTATAATTATTATAGCATCTCTTTTGCAATGGTATAAAGGAGATTTTTAGAATAATTCTCTTCCAGTTAAAAATTATTTGGGGATCAGAAAAAGATGGAAAGTTCTTTTGCCAATTCAAGACTAAATATAGAAATGAATATGGAGTTTTCTTGTCATTGATCTGGCTAATATACATTAAATATATGTAGATTATGTTACACATAATATATTGTTTAATATATTTAAAAGTACATACTCAGCCACTCTCAGCCTTAGTTTTCTCATGGATAAAAAAAAAATCCTGCTTTTAGCATGTTTGGGGGTAAAATGAACAAAGCTATATGTCCTCCTTAGAAGAGCACAGAAAGTCTAGCATCATTAGGACTGCATAATCTCAGCCAACTCATTTTTCTCAGCTGCTTCCCTGCTGCACACTCCCCTCCCAACATTGAGTTACACCAAAATTCTGGCCATCCTTAAATCCACCAGACTCTTTCAAGCCTTTATTCCTTTATACAGGTTATTTTCTTTATATAGAAAGCCTTTCTTTCCCTCCTCCATTGAAACTCATCTTTCAGGATTTCAATCAAGTAGTACCATAACCGAAACATTCTGGTTCCTCTAGGCTGGGTTGTCCTTCCCATTGCTTCCACTGCTCTACTAAAGGGACATTTTTATTCATTTTATTATTTTTTAATGTTTATTTTTGAGGGTGGGGAAGGGCAGAGAGAGAGGGAGACACAGAATCTGAAGTAGGCTCGAGGCTCTAAGCTGTCAGCACAGAGCCGGACACGGGCCTTGAAGCTATGAACCGTGAGATCATGACCTGAGCCAAAGTTGGATGCTTAACTGACTAAGCCACCCAGTTGCCCCCATTTTTATTCATTTTAAATGTGTTTGTCTCTTTGTCTCCCTTTTTAGTCTATGAGATTCCTAAGGGCAAATGTCTATGCCTCATTTATTTTTGTATTCCTAGCACCTACCCTAGTTCCTGACATGTAGATTGCAAAGAAAAGTTTGTGACATGGCCTAAGTGTTTCATTTGTGTCATATTTTTTTTGTTTTGTTTTTAAAGATAAATATTCATAGTATATAAGCTTATGAGTTTGAATTATATTAAATAATTTCAAAAAATTCAATATATTTCATTTTGGGAATATTTTTTTCCTAATACAACCTAACCGATTTTTTAAAAATTTAAATCTATGAATTTTTTAAGTTTATTTACGCATTTAAGTAATCTCTACACCCAATATGGGGCTCAAACTCACAACTCTGAGATCAAGAATCTCATGCTCCATGGGCTAAGCCAGCTGATGACCCTATGAATGGATTTTTAAAAAATATTTATTGCTTACATTTTCTTCTTAATAACTTCACAAGTACCCGACACAATGATTAATAAATAGAATAGTCATTTTCCAAACATAGCTGAAAAATTAATGGTAATTTGCACAGCAGTCTTGATTTTGCTTGTGCTCAGGTGTGATCACACAATTATCTGGTTTTTGGCTCATTCCACAGAGTTCTGTGATGACTTGGACTGAAAGTTGATGTTCTGTGAAATTGTTTATATTAAGCAGAATACCGCTGCCCTTCAATTAATGCCATACCATTTACTAGGTGACAACTGTGAAACTCCTTTTTCCTTTCTCAACTAGTTACAGTCAAAACTGCCTGGACTGAAATCCCCAGCTCCCACACCAGCTATGTATTTGGGCAGTCAATTTGTCTGAGCCAATTGCCTCCTCTGTAAAGTGCAGATAATTATATTATCTAATTTAGAGGGATTTTCTGAGGATTAAATGAGTAATGCAAGTGAAGTGCTTGGAACAGTGCCTGGTACAGAGTGAGTGATCACATGTATATTTGTATTAACAGCCTAGCTTGTTCATTCATTCACCACATTTTTTGTCTCTGCACACAGTGAAATTGTAGAAATGTATTCTCTTCGAATTACCAGCATTTGAATTTAAAACTCTGACTGAAGAGTACTTATAAAGATAATAAAGGTGGTCCTTTAAATACAAATTAATTTGCTTTAAAAAAAATTTTTTTTTAACGTTTATTTATTTTTGAGACAGAGAGAGACAGCATGAACGGGGGAGGGGCAGAGAGAGAGGGAGACACAGAATCGGAAGCAGGCTCCAGGCTCTGAGCCATCAGCCCAGAGCCCGTCGCGGGGCTCGAACTCACAGACCGCGAGATCGTGACCTGAGTTGAAGTCGGACGCTTAACCGACTGAGCCACCCAGGCGCCTCACAAATTAATTTGCATTTTAAAATCAATCAACATGTTACAATTAATCCAGGTCTTGCCCTTTTACCTTGTGTAGGTCAGGGGGGAGTTGA